CCTTGTCAAAAACATACCGTCACAAACAGCCGTCAATCGAGCAAAGGCGACACTGAGGAGACAGCTTCCTTGCAGATTTCACTTATCCGCGTCATAATCAGCCATTACCCAGCAGGTAATTCCGCACCAAACACACGTTAAACAGGCAATCCGACCATGAGACGACACCAGACGCACTACTGATATCAAATGAGAACCATGTGCCTTAACTTCTCGAACTAAGCACATAGCGGGCCACGTGGTCTCCTCCCGGGAATGAGAGACGGACCAAAGGCACGCAATTTTGTAGATAACGGCTTCATTTATCGCAGTCATCTCTATCCACATAGAGCCTTTCACAACGCTGCGTCTGGTGAACAAACCAAATCCCTCCTCGGCAAGCGGTGACAAGGAATACGTAGTAGTACGTGCCCCAAGCAACGCAACTTATTCAGGGCTATCCGTTTTTCTGAGCAACTAGCCCGACTATCACTGTCTAGTACTCGCCTACGCATATCATAGTTGCGGATACGCTGGTGCTATCCGTCACCAGCAATGCTTGGCAGGCAACAATGATCAAAGACTTGAAAGCACCTCAGATCTTTAGACAAAAGTGGCCAAATTTCACTCCCATGGAGTGGGTCGGCTCTCACTGTGGTCTTGTATTCACGGCCCTTTACACCAAAGAAAACCCCTTCTGACACAACAGATGTCACCGATTCAAGTAGTTCTAGCTTTTGCAATACGCGGACAGACTTCAGTGCTTATGCGCCCATCGTTGCTGAGGCAGCTGCCAAGATAAGTGAATTGATCAACCACCTCGAGCTCCTCGTTAGCAAGGTCAAGGGGTCATAAAGTGGCTGGTGGTCCTGCAGCAGCACTTTGCACTTAGAAGTTGCGAAGTGCATGCCAAATGATGAGACCACTTTAGAAAGTTTATTCAGAGTTGACTAGGACGCCCCACCATCATTAGAGAAATTCAGCATCTTTGCATAATCAAGCTCAACTAGCTTTGCACCAGGCAGCACCTCAACGCCTGCATTGTGATGCAGTCCACGACGAAATGGAACAAAAATGAGGAAATAGGGCAACCCTGACGAACGCCACTTGTTTTCGGAAAGATATCCGACAAGGCACTGTACAACCAGACGCGGCCCGTAGTGTTCGAGTACTGACAACGCACATTGTTCATATATATAATGGGAACACCTTTCCGCACAAGTACTTTGAACAGAATGCATAGATCTGCTGAGTCAGACGCATTGTAAAGATCCAGGAACACTGCCACTGTCGGTTGGCAGCACATATGCGCTGCTCTAACAATTGCACAGAGTGAATATATGGTCGATACATCCCTGATTTAAGCGAAAGCCTGCATGCTCTTTCCTCATCCGGGATTCCCGTGAAGCAGTGAGGCCAGTAATTTCGTCACAGTTGGTATTAGGCTAATACGTCTATGGCCTACACTGTCGTCGCGACTGCACATTTCGTATAATGCCACCACAATCAATTCACTACATGTAGCTGAGACGAAGTGTTCGTTCCAGACCGGTTCGAACAATGAGGTCAGTTTTTTGCAGAGGACCTCACCACCATCCTTAAACGGTGCGGGTGCAATGGAATCAGGGACAGCAGCACATAAAGGATTAAGGACTGCGATCGTGTTTCGGACCTCAGCCTCCGATGGAGCCACTAAACTAACAGGACATGGACATACCTGCACCACCTGAATAGGAAGGTGTTGGCCTTCCCAAGTGAACTGCTCTCGAAAGTATCCTGCCCAACGAGTCATACGGCGCACCTTCTTGTGAATTACGGCACTTGCCATGATTCTGATTGCTTCGCTGACACCTGGGACAAGTGTGCGGATCTGTTGGAATAGCTTGCGATAATTACCTACTGTCCCTGCCTCCTCCAATTCTTAGGCCATACTGGTCTACTGGGCATTCTTGTCAGTAGGTCGACGTCAATTTACTTGCGTCTAATAGTTCGTTTCGTCAAACAATGCTCAGAGCCAGCCGGGAGATTTTCTCTAGATTCCATTTGGTTCACCGACCTCTCGGATATCCAGTGACTGGTGCGGTGACGTTCAATAGTGCCACAAGCAAAGCCTCAAGCTTTTTGAAAGGCAGCTGAAAACCTATTCCATTGAAGTCATCAAGATGAGAGAGTTAACTTCTGGGACATACTACATCTTGGTAGGCTTGTCTGACCAAGGACAAGAGATAACATTTCAGCAGCCAGTCGAGTGGGCGCTTGATCCGCCACGTGGTAAAGTTCGTGGAAAAACGACAGCGCACAAAGGCATGTTAAGGGTGGATGCAAGTATTCTACAACGGGCGACAATGCAGGATGAAACCATGTCACCTGTAACATACGGTAACGTAATACATTTGGGGCCATCGCCGGGCAGATACAGGACGAAACCACATTTCGGCGTCAATGGTAACTAAAAGCGAGGCTGCTAAGAAATAGCCGGCGCACAGCGCATAGTTACAACAGACACTTGCGCTTGTCCGTACGGTCGGAGTTAAGCCGGTGCTTACCCACTAGCTGAGCTTCTGAAGAGTACTTGCGTATTCATATCCCCCGCAAGTACTATGATGGCTGAACTGGTAGCCCTGCATAGTAGCGCGTTCAGTTCGTGGTAGAGTGTGTCCTTGATGGCATCAGAACTGCATTCGGTGGGGATATAAGCGGATGCAACAAACAAACGGCGTCTTGCACTACTTGGTGAATCAATTTTGGTCGATGTCGTAAAACGAACAGCACACAAACGGCTGTTCATCGGAATCCAGTCAAACAACTATGACAACCTTGGAGCTGAGAACCATATCCACCCCAACTTGACCAGAGGATGCCGCATCAGTGTCTCCGGATGCGTGCAACTAATAGTGAGAGGACAAGCCGGGCGCAGTTAATTCAACAAACCCGTTGAGATCATTGATCATACGTTCGGGAACGTGACCGACTTCCATACCCAGTGTGTCCAGTGTGCGTGCGAGTACAGCCTGTTCACCTAGATATCTTAGCGTGCGTATACTGAATGCCGCCAATGAAACGAGACATCGTGACCATATAAGGGGCTGCTGCCAGCGTACAGTGAGTGCTGCGGGCGGGTAGCTGCGGATGGTATTGTAGTGGTGTGGAAGGCAACAATCACAGGCGGAACCGACAAGCTGCGAAAACCATGGAAGATGAAAAGTAACGAGCACACCGAGGACGAAAGTTGTGGCCTACGGGACAAGACGAAAATGCACAACGAGCGACAAAAGCTTTCAGGCTCAGGCCGAGAAGAGTAGGTGACGTAGTGATGGACAGCCCGAATTTCCGGATGGATACGCCTTTGGTCGAGTATCCAGGAATAACCACGAGAAGAGTGACGCAGCCCCAATTAAGTAAATCGAGGGTATGAGAACGAATCCAGCCCGGTCAGAATAGGACTACGGTTGTTAAGATACAAGGGCAAATCGGTGAGCAGCGATTTCACTGATCAGCTGAAGTCGGGGCATGAATGTGACCCCGAGCGAAAATACAATGTGTGGCGCGTTGTGGTCGGGAACTGACCTCTATACGTGCGCGCTTGCGTGCTACCCTGTGAACCCAGTGTGCGTTGGCTATAAAGACTGTGTACCTCTACCGCTCGTTCTCGTTAGAGTATGAGTCCAGTGACACTGCGGCTACTGTAAATTAAGCTGGGGACTACGGTGGGTTGGTTAGCAGTGGGGTATCGGGAGGAGAGTAAGAGAAACAGGTTGAAAAGAAGAAAAGGAGTCGCCTGCAGTAGCATGTTGCGCTTATACGTCTTGCTGCATGAAACAGATAAGGCAACCCATAATAACCTTCGCGATGGCCTATGCAGGATTTGATTGGAGTCTGATGAAGAAGTTATGCACATAGACCCTGCAAGGGACAGGACTGGCTTGTAAAAGCTTTGTGATAAGTGTTCAGGTAGTGAGTAGATAACATTGAAACCATTCTCAGAGGCTGGAGCGTCACGACCAACATAACTGAGCTGTTTGGTGAGTTTATGTCGCCTTCCTAAAACCAAGAGGATGTGCTCTAGAATCTGAGGTAGGTACCTTGTGGTGTGACCCAACTATGGTGCGCCGTAGGAGCACGAGTATGAACAGCTATTGCGGAACGGGTCATCGAGGGCAGTCCATCTTACAAGGGTTTTGACAGCAATCTTTTATTATGGTGAACAATTTGCAAGTGGGTCTCAAGACCAGTTTTCTCAATCTCGTCCAGCGATCGTCAGGATAGAATATCAGAAGTAAAATCGTCTTTACATGTTAAGTGCATGAACATTGCTTGTAAGCAATGCTTCCAGGTGGGTATTATTTGCGTTCCTACAAATGCCTCGTTATAAGTTTTTCTGGTAGCCATTTTCCCTCAGGGCATCGCTGACTGTCTGTACTTCTTCCTTGACGATAACCGATGTGGAGTTACCGCGTGGTCTGAAGGCAAGCGATTGCACTAAACTTCTGTTTTACTGTAATGACGCTGCACTGTAAAGTTTGTGTATTGCACAGTCCATGGATGCTTTCTGAGCACTTTCCGGCTGCAGGATCCCCCAGAGTTAGGGAACACTTTACATCCAGAAAAGGTAACCAGTTGTCGAACTCAAGTTCGCAGGTGAACGTGCAATCGCATGCTTGTCATTAGAAGTTTTCAGCAACGGTACCGCTTGCTTTCTCGATTTGTAAAGTACCGACGTACCGACAATACAATCTCACAGATGTGCATTCTAAGTTGTTCATGTTTTAATTTTGCCTTAAGCATATCAAGTAACAGAGGCACCAAAGGAGATCCGTGATCACTACATCAATTTGACGATAAATTGTATCACTGTAGGTGAAGTTAGCATTTAACGTGTAATGAAGAACAATCTCATCGGCAAGTTTTCAGAAGACGTTTCATAAACGTGCAGTTGCTGAATCAGTACAATCGATAATAACTAGCATATAAAATGGCAAAAGACAATTGTTTTGCCGGGTGTCATCCCAGGCTGGACTCACTGCAGAGGTGTTTCTTAGGAAGGGGCCACTTTCTGTGGAGCCTAAAAGCCGAAGGCGAGAGGGTCTCTTTTCCGATTGGATCACAGATTGAATAAAATATTGTGGGCATGCTGCAAGGCAAATAAACAAATGACATATAATCATAGTCCCGAGAATTCACCCAGGTGTTTGCCAGCAGACCGGTTCAAATTTGAGTTCATGTACACAGTGATGCAATGTTAACATTATTATGTGCAAATATACCACCCCTGCACCATACCCATAACAACAATCACCAAGAAGGCCATACATATCGTAAGCACTTGACCATACAACCGAAATTTTGAGTAAAGAAGTGGTCAATTAAGAGGTGTTTCGACTGAAAGATCTAAATATTTTGTTGCAAAACGAAAGGGTGCGTGCGACTCCTCAGAAATTATAAAGCGGTACCACCTGAAACCGCTGAAGTGTTTCCAGACAAACAATAGGTAGCTAGATTTACAATGTATCATGTTAGTCCCAATAAATAAGATCGACCCAAATTCGATCAACTAATGACGCTTTTCTCTATACAAAAGTGCACGCGCTTACTACTCTTTTCGTGGCCGTGTTATTATTGGCTACTATCTGATTCCCGTATATCATGTAGCGGTTACTGATTGAGTTTGGCTTCAATTATTAGATCAACAGTAGAATATCTATACAAATTTGCATACGGTCAAGCAGCAGTTCCCTTGGTTTGATTCTGCAACCGAGATGTTTTACTGAATAAGTATGTGAGCACCGAACATAATTACTGGACCAAATTACTTGCTACTTTACACAATACGAATGGACTTTATCGCAAAAATGGCATACTTACTCGGTGGTGTCTCCTGTGTCACCAATTCACTCCGGGGTTCTTTTCGCTTAACACAAAACAATTGTTAATAAGAGGTAAATGTTGGCATTGTTCCGAATAGAAACACAGACAATGTATATAACCGTGTGTCCAAACACAGCCAGGTGAGAAAAAACTAATGCCAAAAGAACAATTTCACGTTCCGCTATGTATTTCAGTTCGGTACAAGGAAGAACATCACTTACTGAAAAATGCACTAAGGAATGGAATCTTGGGCTGACGACTGCCCCAGTAGCCATAGGTCGAATAGTTTCCAGTTGGCCTTCGCTGATTGTGAATCGGAATCCCACAATGTCATCATTCGGAATGAGATAATCATAGTCCTCTGGATCGAGGGTAAACTTCATTGTGGTGACTGGAAAAGGTTTAGGAGGAAAGCAAATGTTTCAGGCTTTGGCAGTGCAAAAGTTTTATGTTTCCACAACGCTGCATGACTGATTAGTACATCTTACTGCAGCGATTGGTGTCCGTTAGAGCTTGGTAGCAAAGTTCGTTGCTAGCATTTCCCATACGGTGGTCGCCTGATGCCTAAAAGTGCCCATTAACTTTGGCTTAAGTGATTGGGACTATCACCATGAGCGAAATCTATAGAAACCACATAGAAGTTCTAATGAGAAAGACCTGACAGTCAATCACAACAGCATCACTCGGAGAATACTTATACTGTTTAGTAAGCAAGACAGGTTATTCTAACTTGATCACAGGAAAAATAGGATCAGTGATGTTCGATGAATCAACAGGAGCTTCGCATGATTTTTTTGGAAACTGATGAATACATGATAAAAGACACGATCTCCATCTGCGGTAAATTAATGCTTGGTATCGTCCTGAGCCCCCTGGTGGCACCCAATACCCGTTTGTGTGCCCACATTTGCCTATATGCGGGTTTACTTTACAATCTTGGGGCCAATTATGCCAACAATCGTTGTGCTACCTGGAGGAAGTTCGCAGTAGCTAAATGGAAGCAGACAGCAACCACATATTTGGAAAACTGCTGCATGGTCGATTTATTTGTTTGGACTCATCATCCAGGCGCGTCCACGTAATGTTGCTGGATCCGAAATCATGACTGCTCTTATCAGTTAGTGATGTAAGCCCCCACTATTGCATAACTAAAAGTAACCACCTAAGTAGCCTACGTGCCACCTTGAACGGTGAAGCCTTTCAAATGAAGCTGTAGGTCTGGGGACCAGTTTTCTCCTACGACGTCCATAAGATGCATAGCAGTGGATTAGGAATGATCCATAACGGTGGGCACACTGGCAGGTGGTGGTGATGGGAGTGTCATACCAGACTGAAGAGATGCGCCAACCAACCGAACAAGCCAGACAGCCAATGGGAGATGGGCGTAACGGATGCGATTATTGGACACAGATTGGCCAACATGAGTATGAAGTACACACCGTTTGTTTAACTGAGTCAAAGGGGAGCCTCATCTACTCAGAAGGGTCGTTTGCTATGGACTTGAACCTGCAACTTATGTCGAGGAGTTTGGTTTGCTAAAGATGCTGCCATTTTCCCAGAGATGACAATGCTGAAAAAACGCTTGTCGCTGAAGGACCGAGTACTGCAACAGTGCTATCCTTCATAAACGCTCACGCAAAAGTGTTGATAATGTCCCCGTGATTGGTGCTGAAACTTCTGAAACCGCGATGCTAAGCTCCTCCGTAGCCGATCCGAGCTACTGGCATTTCTAGTAACACCTAAGGCTGTGTCTTATTCGCTGTCTACATGCTAAATATTTCCAGAGACAGAAAAATAGGTGTAGCCTTATACCTGGGATATCAGTAGACGACGTGGCCTTGCAACTAACTTAGTAACGACGTTGTGGCCGCCGGTGTTGCTCATGTCAGCCCACCGACTCCCGCGACATGCATTGTTTGCGCGCCGGGGACGCGGCAGGAAGAGAAGCAGGGGAGGCCAAGCGATGACTTGGTCGAGAGAAATGGAAACCTTCATTTCGAAGTTGGCGTGGGTTGGTGCATCCCGACTGCCTGGCTGGCGTCCTAAGGACAATGAACACGTTTGGTTGAACACACTTGCTGATATGGCTAGGAGCCAGCCCCAGTGGCGTTTGTGTTGTGAATTCCTTTGTCCATCCCTCTCCTGCTTAGCATCCCCTCCAATCATGATCTCACTCGTTAGACATAATATAACTTTTTGCGGCACGATAGCCGGTTGTTAGCTCTCCGGAACGATGTCCATCCGTTACTGGGGGCTTAGCCGGGGAGTCACTGTTGCTTTTTATTGTCTTTTGTATTACAGCTCAATAGCCGAAGTGTTTTCCACCTGCAGCTAATGCGTATGATGAATGAATGAATGAATGTGACCGCCGATCATAAGAGTTAGAGGCAAGCGATTAAACGGGAGTGCGCTGTTGGTTTTCTGACGACAACCATTAGGTGAAGAAAGCCAAGATCTGGAGTGTAGTTAAGCATGCTTCTCCAGGCCAAGTATTGGATAGTAGTGAGGCTACATAAAGCATTGAAAGTGTTTAAGACTTATAAGGCACTACTAAACCCCATGGTGTGATTAGCAGCTCTTAGCACTGTCGACGTGAGCACCCAAGAAGATCAAACATCAATAGTCCAATGGTTAATAGCGTATGATCAGATAAAACGCGAAACTGAAGAGACTCACAGGATGAAAGTGCACAGAAAAATTAGGATCAAAAATGTTCCAACGTTGAACGCGAATCATCATTAGTAAGAACATCGCATTTGAACACATTTTTAGTGTTTAGTACTAAGTTAAAGTCTAGCAGTCTCTCGAATGTCGCGATTTCCGCTGCGTACACCCCAAGTGTTGGTACTGCATTCTGGTGTGAACAGATTCGAGGAAAGTAAAATTACTTCCTACAACCCAAACGAGAGTGCTAGGTTACTAGTTCCAGGTGATGGACCCGACATTGTTTGTAAGGGGCTAGGGTCAACAGCGCTGTACATGGATGCTCGATTTCAGCTAGTGTCCAGTATGTGAGAACGAGATCTCCGCGAAACCGTAGATATTCTGAGGAGAACACAATGAGTAAACGAAGGCGCAGTTCGTAAATGCGACCGGATAGTCCACGTGTTGCCTTGATGACTCTTCATTCGAGCTTCTCCAAGAGAGGAATATCTCGTTTTATCCATGGGCGCCAAGCCTGAACCGTATATTCACCGTGGGGACGAAAATATGTGTTGACCAACAGTGGTACAGGCTGTCGTTCGAAAGCGCCGAGAGCTCGCCTCAAAAGCATCAATTTCAAGTTCGCCACAGTTGCTGTTTTCGAAAATTGGAGCAAATTGTCAATACTTTCTTGAACAATGAGACCTAAGTCTCGTTAAGCTGTTGCAAATATTTCTATCCCAAAAGATATGTGTTGATGAAGCTGCAACGCATCGTCAACGTGTAGCACTTTCTAGGGTTCAGTGGTAGCTGATTCATTTTTGTACATTCGCTAATCTGGTCCAGATCGCTCTGGAGATAAGCACGGTCGAATGCTGAGGAAATTGCTCTCCATCTTTTAGCATCGCTTGAGAATATTTACATCGGGGATATAATGCTTTCTGGGAGTTAATTTACGTAAACTAAAAACAGAAGCGGGCCGAGGGATCCTTATGGTACACCACTAGATAAGCAATGGCTTTGGGAGTGAGTGTCGGCTATTCTTACCTTTACCATCGCAATAAGGCTGGACCTTACCGTGGTGCGATGGTTTGCGTGTTTCAGTGATCCATTAAGCCATGCTAACTGGTGCTTTTTTGCACCTTCAGAGCCACTCATATACCACATTGGTCAATGGTTAGACGTCAGAAAAACTCAGTCTCCTCGTACTCCAAGTTGGGGGTTGGAATGAGGGTTGCACCTTATTCCTTAACACGGACTCCTTGAAGCCCAAAGCCAAACTTGCTGCCTTGCGGTAAGGTTTTTGAACCAAAGGCTTCGGTTGAGAATCCTACTCGTTTTTCTGTACAGACTTGGGCAACCTGACAGTATCCTGCCCACGCACCACAATGAATTTCTCATCAGACAGCTTCTTCATGCTCTGGCCACCGCAGAGGATAATCAACGGTGCCCTATCTGCTGCATGGAGCAGGGTGGATAGCGGTTTATATGCTACTGCTCAAGACTACCCATCTTCTTACACCACCTTACGCTTTTTCTTTCTTACCGTCCCGTTCCAGCTTCACTTTCACCCCACCCCCCGGTTTTCAACCCCTTAATTCTTGGCTCTCCCCCACCTTGCTTCGATAGGTTTTACCGTTTAGTTTCAACTCACATGTGAACGCGGAGCGTCATACCTGCTCTGTGGACAAGCCCACGTTCAAGCAAGCGTCTAAGCCCAGTTCTTCAGCTTTCATTTGGAGCCCACGATCATCCTTCAGATCGGCATGCCTCAATGTACGCGCATTACTACAGATCGGTCAACACGCAGCACTTGCCCGAACATTAGAGACCCTCTCCATCGGTATATGCTGCTTATCGGAGACCGGCCTGCAAAACTCCAGCTAGGCGCTCACTTTGCGATTCCCTTCAGGTGACACCAGCAGTACTTTCCCATTGCGCCTATCCGGTAACAATGCAGCTTCGAGCACTGGCCAAGATGGTGTTGGCATTGCCCTGAGCCCCCGGGCTGAAGCTGTTCTGATTGACTGGATTCCAATCGGTAGCTGCTTGTGTGTAGTCCGATTGGCTGGTTCGTTCAAAGCTTCGAAGTCGCGCGGAACTAACAGGTGTCTATTCGTTATTGATGCTTGTGCACCCTCAAACTCTAGCCATGATTCGGTAAAAGACGACTTCTATCGCCAATTGAACATGCTCTTTCGCCAGAGAAGAAGCAAGGACACTGTAGTGCTGGCTGGGGATCTGAACGCTTAAGTTGGGAAATTGTCCACTCACGAGCTGCATCTGAGCGGCCAACATGCGGTAGGCCTCCGTAATGATAATGGTGAGCGGTTAGTTCATTTGTGTGAAGATACTCGCTTATTTTTTGAGAGCACTAATTTCCGACACAGCACCCGCCGG